GAGCAACAAAATACTCAAGGGAGCAAATATGGAGACAAAGTGAGGGACAGAAACTGAAGGAGGGGCCGTCTCAAGACCACTCCACCTGAGTATCTATCCCATGTGCAATCACCAAAGGTAGATGCTGATGTGGAAGACAGGAAGTGCATGCTGATAAGAGCCTGATATGGATATCTCCTCAGAGGCCTTCAAGAGTCAGACATATTCAGAGGCAGATGCTCACAACTAGCCATTGAACTGATCATGGGGTTCTCAATAGAGGAGTTAGAGTGAAGACTGAAGGAGCTGAAAGGGTTTGTGGCACCATGAGGAGAGCAACAATACCAACCAACCACAGCTCCCAGGGTCTAAACCACCAGCCTGGGAGCACTTAGGGGGGGATCCAGGGCTTCAGCTGAATATGTAAAAGTGGAGGGCCCTGCTGGGCATAGGTGGAAGAAGAGAACCTTGACCTCATGAAGGCTGGATGCCCCAGGGGGTGGGAATTTTGAGGGTGGGGAGGTGGGAGTGGGGGGGTGTAGATAGAGGTTACATCCACAGAGAAGAAGGAGGAGGGGCGAGGGGATTGGGGGTTCCGAGGGGGTGGTGGGGGATGGGGTAAGGGGACAACATAGGAAATGTAAATAAATCATCCAATAAAAAAACAAAAAAAAAACAAAAAAAACTGCATAGTTATTGGTACAGACACAGGCAGGGAGATCAATGAAATAGAATTGAAGATCCCAAAATGAACCCACACACCTATGGTCATTTGATCTTTGACAAAGGAGCTAAAACCATCCAGTGGAAAAAGAGCAGCATTTTCAACAAATGGTGCTGGTTCAACTGGAGGTCAGCATATAGAAAAATGCAAATTGATCCATTCTTATCTCCTTGTACAAAGCTCAAGTCCAAGTGGATAAAGGACCTCCACATAAAACCAGATACACTGAAACTCGAATACCTAGGCACAGGGGAAAACTTCCTGAACAGAACACCAGTGGCTTATGCTCTAAGATCAAGAATTGACAAATGGGACCTCATAAAATTGCAAAGCTTCTGTAAGGCAAAGGACACTGTCAATAGGACAAAATGGTAACCAACAGATTGGGAAAAGATCTTTACTAATCCTACATCTGATAGAGGGCTAATACTCAATATATACAAAGAACTCAAGAAATTAGGCTCCAGACAACCAAATAACCCTATTAAAACTTGGGTATAGAGCTAAACAAAGATTTCTCAACTGAGGAAACATGAATGGCCAAGAAGCACCCAAAGAAATGTTTAATATCCTTAGTCATCAGGGAAATGCAAATCAAAACAACCCTGAGATTCTGCCTCAGACCAGTCAGAATGGCCAAGATCAAAAACTCAGGTGATAACAGATTCTGGTGAGGATGTGGAGAAAGAGGAACACTCCTTCATTGTTGGTGGGATTGCAAGCTGGTACAACCACTCTGGAAATCAGTCTGGCAGTTCCTCAGAAAATTGGACATAGCATTACCTGAGGACCCAGCTATACCACTCCTGGGCATATATCTGGAAGATGCTCCAACATATAGCAAGGACACATGTTCCACTATGTTCACAGCAGCCTTATTTGTAAAAGCCAGAGCCTGGAAATGACCCAGATGTCCTTCAACAGAGGAATGGATACAGAATGTGGTACATTTACACAATGGAATATTACTCAGCTATTAAAAACAATGAATTCAAGAAATTCTTAGGTAAATAGATGGAGCTAGAAAATATCATCCTGAGTGAGGTAACCCAATCACAAAAGAACACATATGGTATGCACTCACTGATAATTGGATATTAGCCCAAAAGCTCACAATATCCAAGATACAACTCACAGACCACATGAAGCTCATGAACAAGGAAGACCAAAGTAAACTGAAGGAGGGGCCATCCAGAGACTGTTCCACCTGGGTATCCATCCCTTGTGCAGTCACCAAAAGTGATTGATATGGATGCCAGGAAGTGCATGCTGACAGGAGCCTGATATAGCTGTCTCCTTAGAGGTCTGCCAGAGCCTGAAATATTCAGAGGCAGATGCTCATGGCTAACCATTGAACTGATCAAGGGGTTCCCAATGAAGGAGTGAGAGAGAAGACTGAAGAAGCTGAAAGGGTTTGTGGCCCCATGGGGAGAGCAACAATATCAACCAACCAGAGCTCCCAGGGTCTAAACCTCCAGCCTGGGAGCACATAGGGAGGGACCCATGGCCCCAGCTGTATATATAGGGAAGGATGACATTGTCAGGCATAGGTGGTTGAAGAAGTCCTTGGTCCAGTGAAGGCTGGATGCTCCAGAGTCGGGGAAATCGTAGGCAGGGGCATATCCTCATAGAAGCAGGAGGAGGGGGGATGGGATAGGGGTTCCTGGGGGGTGAGGGGAAATGGGGAAAGGAAATTACATCTGAAATTTAAACAAGATATCTAATAAAAAAAATCCACCAATTCCTTAAAGACACAAATTTCAAAAACTGACCAAAGAGGAAAAGTTAAATCTGAAAAGTTCTATCATAATAAATGATTTGAATTTGTATTTGAAGTCGTCTTTCAGGAGTACTACAAGATCAGGTGGATTTACTCATGACTTTTATCAAATGTACAGGAAAGACGCAATGGCAAGTCTATGTAAGCACCTTTGGGAAGCAGAGCAAGAGGAAATATCTCTCAATCTTTTTCATAAATCCACATTGCTTTGATAACAACCCAGAAAAGATAGAACACAGAGGACAAAATCCACAGGTCAAAACTTTCGGTAGTATAGACATAAAAGTTGCCAAAATATTATTAGCAAATATACTAGTATAAGAGGCTTTAGCTAAGAATTCTACTTTAACATTCAGAATCAATCAATTCAATCCAAATATGACCAAACAAAAGAGAAAAGGATATTATCATCTCAATATACATAGTAAAATCACTTTCACTGATAGTAGAAATATTATGGTATTTTAATTTCCACACAAGTACACCTTTTCTACTTAAAACAAAACAAAAACGTTTTACTGGGCTACAGGCTCAGTGGGTAAAGGTGCTTGTCATCATGACAGACAACCTGAATTCAGTCTCCAGAGACGCAAGGGCATTAGGAAATAAAGTCCTGCAATTGCCGTGTGATCTCCACATGTGCACTGTGTCACATCCCTCGTACAGAAAACAAGCAAATGTAAAAAAAAAAAAATGACACCTTATAAAAGTCAGTATCCATTCTTGATTTTTAAAGCTGAGAACAAGCCAGGCTTAATGGCTCCAGCCTGTAATCATAACCCCAAGATAAGAAGATGGCATGAGTAAGACCAGCCTGGGTTACATAATGAAACACTATAAGAATAAATGAATGAATACAAAAGCTAGGAAGAAAAGAGATTTATTCTACTTAATAAAAAAATGAATTTAAAATTATAAAAGGATGGAGTGACTCTCCCTAACACTAGAGAGAAACAAGAATGTCTAGTCTCATTATTTTCAGCAAACATAATATAGCATGTCCCAGACAATAAGATAAAGAAAAATAAGAAATAAAAGGCAAACGGATTAGTAAGGCAGAATCGATCTTTAATGCAAAGTGAGGTCAGCAAGATGAAAAAGTAGAATAGAAAAAGAATAGAAGAGAAGAACAGAAAAGCTCTTGGCTCAGGAACACAGTGCAAGTACTGTTCAGTTTCTCTCTGTGTGAAACCCTTCAGATAGCCCAAGGTTCCTGCAGGACAGGCAGATGAGAAGCTGGTGTCACTGAAGAGAAGACAATCACTGAGGAGCACTCCCCAGAATCAGCCTCCAGCCCATGGCTTAGATCCCCACTTTCAGCTCTTTCTAGGATAGGGAATGGTTGACTAGCCTGCTTTGCTAAAAGGAATTCAAAGAGGACTGCTCTCTCTGAGTCTTAAGGCTTTGGTGGGGCTAGACTGCACAGCCTGAGCCACCAGAGAAGAGTAACGATGGCAAACACATACTCAAAAGGTAAAACAAATTCCAGTGCATGCACTCACACACACATACACACACACACACACACACACACACACACACACACACCTAAATGAACGAAACTTGAAAGTAGATTTTTATACACGGTTGAACTTAACTTGTTTATAATATTAAAATAGATCCAATTAGCCAGTTTGGAAATGGGCAAGAAGCTGAAGAGGCTCTTTTTCTATGAAGATACACAAAAGCCCAGTGGCTGTAATCCTGGCACTCAGGGGACAGAGGTAAGTGGATCTCTGTGAGTTTGACGCCACGCTGGTCTACACAGTGTGTTCCGAGACCACGAGGGCTATGTTGAGAGACTGTCTCAAAAAAAAAAATAACAAAACAAAGCAAAACACAAAATGTTCAGTATCACTAGCCACCGGGAAATGTCATTTCTCACTCCTCAGGGTGACTGCCATCAAACCCCAAAGGGCAGGAAGCATTGAGGATATGCGGAGGAGCGAGACTTCTTGTGCATTGCTAGTTGAATAAAAGAATGGTAGCTATTATAGAACACAGATGAGAAGTCTCTCAAAAAATGGAAACTACAACTACCATAGGACCCGCCTACCATAGGGCCCTCCTACCTCCTGCCAATCTTACACTGAGGCATTTATTCAAACAACTGACATCATGTTATCTATGATATTGTGACAGAAAAGAGTTTCTTACTCCTTAAAAAGCATTCTGACTATATTAGCAAATAGAATTTTTGAAGCAGAAACTAAAGATTCTAGAAGATTCTAGAAATGTCAAGAAGAAGCACAACTGCTTTCAAGTGTTGCTGACTCTGCCCCTTCACAATTCCATCCTGTTTGAATTTTTTTTTTAACTTCTTCATGTAAGTAACAATCATGTCAGACAAATACAACATTTACAACGTTATTTTGGAATCACATATTAAGGGTGTAAGATCACACGTGACTCACAGCTCCTCCCATTCCTTTTTGCGCTGCAGAATCTTAAGTTGAGCCCGCTCAGCTTGTTGGACGAGTTTCTTTGTTTTCTCGATTTGGTTTTCTACCATAATTTCACTTAAAGTTCGAGGCCGAAATTTCTTCCTTTTTTCCAGTACTGATTCTTCTTGTAGGCTAACACTTCCAACTATACAAAGAATTACTTTTTAATACTTCTAAAACAGAAAAATAACTCTCAAATACTGTTTTCAACTACGCACACATGCATACACACACACACACACACAAACACAAGATCAAGATAAAACATGGAAGCAACTACCATGACTTCAACCCCCAAACCACAGATGTACCTTGAACTTTGATCCTGATAAACCCACTGTAAATTGAAAGCAGCTAATTTTAAAATGTATGTATGATGTCTAGCCCATAGAATATCACATCTGAGCATACCATTCTGAGCATACCATGCTCAGAATATCTACATTAGCCTACCCAACACTCAACACCTACCTTACAATAAGATGTTGAATATTGCCAGGCAGTGGTGGCACACGCCTTTAATCCCAGCACTTGGGAGGCAGAGGCAGGCAGATTTCTGAGTTCGAGGCCAGCCTGGTCTCCAGAGTGAGTTCCAGGATAGCCAGGGCTACACAGAGAAACCCTGTCTCCAAAAAAAAAAAAAAAAAAATGTTGAGTATCTCATGCAATTTTTAAAATACTGTACTTACCGTGGAAAATAGAAAGGCCGGGTGGGTCCGTTTATACACACCCTTACAGAGTTACAAAAATGTATGTTGAACAATCATTAAGTTGTCTACTATTTCTAGAGTGCAAATTCAGAGGAGAAATCTAAGGCACAATTATTGCTGCTAATCATTTTTCTATTTAAAACGTTGATAAAAAAACAGTCCAGCTCCCGCACCTGAGGAGGCTCAGGAAACATCGAAGAAGAACAACAGAGAGACAGAGGATCAGGGAGTTTGCTGTGAGGCTGTTTCTCCTAAGAATGTCAGGAGCTATATCCATAAAGCGTCACCAACATGACTACCTGAGCATAAACTGAACAAGGACCACAACAACAGACATGCCAAAGTGGACAGGGAAAGGCTACAAGTCCCCAGTTTTATATAAAGAACCACAGGCAACTAAGAACTGATGACAGTGGGAGAAATAGTCTTCCCCAGGGAAGAGCACAGCAATTGGTTATCCAATACCAAATAATCAGCCCTGGGGGCATACATGTGAGGAATATCAGACTGACTGAGAAGCTTGTACTTATGTATGTGTGTGCATATATATAGACATACATATATTGTTCCATACATATATATACATATATGTGCACACATACATATACATGTATGGAACAATGAGAAAAAGAGGTCATGAATTTGAATGGGAACATGGAGGGGTAGGAGGGAGGGTTTTAAGAGAGGAAAGGGGAGGGGCAAATGACACGATTATATGGTCTCAAACGGTAAATGAAATTTAAAAATGCAAACACCTGCAATAAAATAGCCTCTGATTTTAATTTTTAAAAAGGATAAATGTTCTGCCATGGCGTCCACTGAGTAAGCATTACAGTCAAATATGAAGAAAGTTGGCAAAAATAAAACTTAATATCAGCTCCTTACAGAATAGCTTAAATAATATTGGAACATTGGCAGACCAAGGCAGCTGAGGAGTGTGTTTGCAGTACCGCCTTAGGACGGGATTGAGTGAGTCGTAATTTGACATAGGGTTTAAACTGACACTTCACATACTATGTGAAATTGGCTGTGGCCACTTAGAAAAAAACAAAAACAACAAAACCCTTTTTTGGAGGTCGTGGCCACTGTAGGATTCCCGTGAGCTAGTGGATGGTTCCATATCCAGATATGGGCAGCACTAATGGGACTTAGTAGATCTTGTTTTTTAAAGACATAATTGGATGAGGGATCATATTTTATTGTATTCTTTTATAAAATTCTCAAGAACAAAAGAAAAAAATGTCAAAACTAGTCAGGAGCAGCTCACATGAAAACTACAGTTTTAAAATAATTGGTTTTTACCTGTGAACATGTGTCTGTTGAGGAGTGACTCCTCACGTCCAGTGTATACAAAGATACACATTTACACATACATTAAAATGAATAATAAACTAGGTATGAGGCACACATCTATAATCCTTGGAAGGGAGAGGCAGAAGACCAGATGTTGAAGGCCACCCTCTGCTCCTAGTGAGTTTGAGGCTAGCCAGAGCTACAAAAGGCCCTGTCTCAAAAAAAACTAGAGATCAAAACAAAATGTGCTACAAATACACAACTGAATTTTATTCAGCTATAAAGAAGAATGCAATTATTCAGTTTGAAAAAACACAAAACACAAAAAACAAACAAACAAACAAAAAACAAAAAAGATGCAAATGGAGGTGATCATGTTCCGTGAATTAAGTCAGTCTCGGACAGACCAACATCGCATTTTCCTCCCCAGAACCTGTCTTCCTTTGGCACTCGTTTGCTAGCCTTCTGCAGAAAACAGGCTGCCAGGCTGGGGGTGGGGGCTGGGGGAGGAGGGTTAAGGGCTATTTTCACACCTACATTCTGTTTGTACGGTTTTGGAAAACAGTTTGAAATACAGCGTTTTAGCTTTACGTTCTTCGGGGTGGGAACCAGGAATATGGAAAAGAACAGAGCTCGGGGGATAGACTACATCAGAGGCTACTTGGATAAGGTGGGGTAAGAAAGCTGCACCGTCCTGTGTTCTCACCCATGGTCTGGGTTTGCTTTAACAGCGCACATCCAATAAGAAAACAGGTACTGTGCGTTTGGTGGAGGGCGCCTGCATCTAGTCTTAGCCATACCACATAACTCTGATTGCAAGATTACCTCTTCCAAGATCATGGAAGGGGAAGACAAATTGAGCTCCAGACACCAAGGCAGGGTCAAAAGTCCTTTTCTATGAAAAGTCAAATCTGTCGGGAAATCTTATTGATAAGGACTTAAAGCCTCCTGGCGTCTGGATCCCCACCTGTATCTTTTTGGCTCTCCTTCTTGCCCGGCCCTTCCTTTTCAAACCTCTCCATTTTGCTGGCTCTTCTCTCAGTCTGACTTGGACGCTTTAACTTGGAATATTTAGAGGGCTTCACCAGCCTATAGGAGGCTACTTGGTGGTCACTCTGGATGGCATAAACCACAATGGTGTCACTTTCCAATGGCTCACGAAATCTGAAAAAAAAATAGAATAGGTATTTGCAATATTTTGATCATTTGATCATTTTGCAGTGATCACATATGCCAATATGTTTATGCACTGCTCAAAATTTAACTATACCTATGCCATCGGAGTGCTATGAAAGTTGGGCTGGACTTGACTGAAAAGTAATAAAAAAAATAATTCCAGGGAAACTAGTAAACATTCCATTATTAATCAATGCACCATGAAATTTTGCTAAGATGTGCTAAGTGACAATTTATAGTTAGACTCCAGTTTGATGGAAAACAAATCATAGCAAACTCTGAATATGTGTACTCTACTGGCCTATGCATTATAGACAATAAGTTATATGCATTGTATAAGAAATAATTGAATGTAAATTATATAAAAATATAGCTATCTGTGTATAAATACGAGATTCTTAAGCTAAAAAGATGGAAAAAAATTAACATTTATTTACCAAAGACTTAAGAAATTTTACTTCACTGGGATATTTAAAACACATTTTATTAAACTCTATGGTGCGTGTGAATGTGTGTGTGTTCATGTGTTTATAAACATGTGCTAATGAGATTTGTTTGTGTGTGGTCGCTGTGAAGTGGGCAGTCTTTGGGAGGCTGACTAAGGAAAGTTCTCAAACACTTCTCTGTGAAAGGACTAGGTTTTGACACCGGAGAAATGAGTCGGTGGCTAAGAACTTGCAGAGAACTGGGACTGAGTTCTTAGCACTTACAAACTCTCTAACTACCAACTTCCTGGGCTCCAGTGCCCTCTTCTTCTGGTCTCCATGGACACACACACACAAAATTAAAAATAAAATAAATCTATAAGAAGAAGAAAAACACCTGCATGATCATTATAAACAATTTTAGACATATGTGAGAGAAGCTAGATGCAAAAAAGAAACATTATTCAGCACTGCATTTATATAGAGTTTATAGACAAAAATAATCTATAGCAATAATGACTCCATATCAGAGTAAAGGCATTACCTGGAAGGAGCCATGAGGGACCTGGCATGATATAAATGCTCTCGATCTTAATGGGAATCATACATACATGAACTGATGAGCATTAATGAAAGTATTGATTGGGCCATTCTATGAAGATGTGCATACTCTACTGTCTATAAATCACTTCCATAAAAAACAAAAAGGTGTTTCTCCTGGAAAGACAGACTGGCATGTGAAAGTGATTAGGCAGGAGTGTGCTATCTTTTACTATGCACCTTCTAACCATGTTCAATTTGGAGTTTTTAAAACATGGAAGCCTTCATAGACATGTTTTAATTTGTCATAAAACAAATAGTTTGTCAAAATAGAAACCAAATAGGCATTGTAAATGTAAAAAATATAATGGTCCCAAAATTCCCAACATATAACTGGAAGAGATGAGCCAACAGCACAGGAAGACACTATTGGCAGGAGGATTGCTTGAGGTGCCAAGCCGCTCCCTGGGTACTTCACAAGATGGCTCATCTGGCCACCTTGTGGGGATCACAACACACAACTCTATTCAAAAGTGTGCTTTCAGACATCCCCATGTGCAGGACAGACGCACCTGTCCTGGAGCTTCTTCAGGCCGAGTTCATATTTCTGTTTTTCCCAAGCTAGTTCCTTTTCCACTTGTTCCATTTTAAAACTTGTTTTCTTATGGATCTCAGCGTGAATTTTGGCATCAATATTGAAATCCTGCAGGTAAGTACATTTCTTTATCAAAAAGGTTCTTATTTTGTTTTTGAATTAGTGTGTGTGTGTGTGTGTGTGTGTGTGTGTGTGTGTGTGTGCAGGTGTAAGCCAGGTGTCATTCCACAAAAGCCAGTCACTTTTTTTCTTGAGACAGTCTCTCACTAGGACCTGGAGCTTGCCAGTTAGGTTAGGCTGGCTGGTTCACAAGCCCCAGGAATATTTGTCTCTGTCTCCCCAGTGCTGCCATTATAAGCACACTCCACCATGCCTGCTTCTTATGAGACTATTGGAGCTTGACCTAAAATTCTCATAATGACTGAGCCATCTCCTTAGGCCATCTATTAGACTTTTAACAATAGTTCTGTTTAGAAAATAGTTGAAAATGAAATAAAGGGGCTGGAGAGATGGCTCCATGGTTAAGAGTATTTGCTGCTTTTTCAGAGAACCTGGATTTAGTTCCCTGCATTCACATCTTGAATTAAAATCATCTGTAATCCCAGTTCCAGGGAGCTGAAACCCTCTCCTGGCCTCAGTGAACATTAGACATACACATGACGCACATATATACATGCAGACAAGCACTCATGTACCTAAAATAAAACTTTTGAAGAATGAAAGAAAAGAACAACATAGCCCAATTATTAGCAGAAGCATTTAGTTTTATAGTAAAATCACAAAAGAAATGAATATAAAATTGGCTTAAATACTTTTGTGATTGTTCTCATAACTACAGCTATACTGTCATCTTTTACAAGCTTTATGATTCAGCCCTGGCATGATTTTTCCAGAAATATAATGGATTAGTTAAAATGAAACAACAGAGAGTCAAACTATCCATGTACCCTCCCAACAGATGAGCCAGATTTCAATTCTTGTTTTTATTTTTATTTTTTTTCCTGAATACAGAAAAAGCACATCATAGATGTAGCCAAGTTCAGCGGTCAACTTTGTGTTATGTAGGCTCATTGGCTTCCAGCCAGACTGTGTCAAGTTTTATAGCCCTTGAGGTGATGCAAATACATTGTAGGTAAAAGAAGCTTTAATGATGATATCCTAATTGCTTTCCTGTTGCTTTGACAAACGCCACAACCAAAAGCAGCTTGGGGGAGAAACTGGATTATTTAGCATACACTTTCAGGTTATGGATCATTAAGGATAGTTGACAGGGCAGGCATTCAAGCAGGAAGGAAAGCAGGAAGCACACGGGAATGTTGCTTACTGCTGGCCCTCTCCCTCATACTCATCCAGTTTGCTGCTATCTCCTAAGACCACCTGCTTAGGGATAATGGTGTCTGCCCACAGTGGGCTGGGATGTCTTTCTTCATTCCACATCAAGACAATATCCTCGACAGATGTGGCACAGGCCAGTCTGGGTCTGGGAAATCCCACAGCTGAAACTCCATCAGATGGCTCTAGCTGTCAAAAGTTGACAATGGAGGCTAACCAGGACACATGATTTTTCCCATGGTTGGCAAATAGCAGTCCCAAAACAGAAATAATACATTAAAATAAATTCCTTCGTTTAGACTCACCGTCCGTTGGAACTGCATATGTGCTGGTAACTCTTTATTCAGAGCTAACAGCTTCCAAAACTCATTCCTCAAAATTTTGATTTGTTCTCTCTTATGAGCTTTTATTTCCTCTACTTTCTTCATTAACTTATCATGCTCTCTTTTTTTCCTGGCATTCTCAATACTGAAAGCAGACACGTAAAACAGCCGTCATTCCAGGTACAGAAATGACATGAGAAAAAATCAGCATCCAATAACTTCAAAATTCAGTTGGCTTGCTCATCGTCTGCAAAGAGTTGGTTTGTTTGGTAAAATTCTCAGGCCTGATCAACAGCTATGGTGATTTTTCATACCTGTAGGCTTTGGGATCTTCAATGTCTTCTGGAGCCGTCTCTGATTCAATCCCAAACTGTCGAAAGAGGGAAAACATCTGCTTTCAGCAAGTGTGGTCAGTTTACCAACACAAAACCTGTACAAGACCAAGCCAGTCAAAATTCCTTCATGGGTGGAGGAGGGAACCCTGAGGCCTTACCCTCAGCAGAGGAGCTACTGGCAATTTCTGGCTGCTGAGGGAGGGAGAGTGACTTTCCTCTGTGGACTTGGTGGGTGGCATGGTGCCTATGTCCCAGTGGATGTTCCTATATCCGTGTGCATATGGGCAGCACTAACTGGACTTAAGGTTCTATTAATAACAATACTAAGAAAAGGATATGACATTGAAAGAAAAATTGGGTAGGGAACAATGAAGGTGTTTCAGGGAGGCGGTGGTGAATTGATATCATCAAAATGCATTGTATAACTACATAAAGTTAGCAGAGAACATACTTAAATTTTTTAAAGAGAAACCATGATGTATTTATTCTAGCTGTGTGAGTAAACTGTGAAGTAAAGTGGCCTTCTCAGGAAGTAAAGCATGATTGCAAATCATATCTCATTACTGACTGGATTAAAGTGGATTATGCTTGCTACCTGCTTTCTAGAATCAAAGAGAAATCTTTAGGAGGTAATAGCAACACACCAAGAATCAGGGTAACTCTCAAGTTTTTCATATAAAATGTCTAGAGCTCAATAAAAAAATAACTAGACATGCAAGGAGGACAAGATTTGATAGAAAAAATCAGAAGGAGACCGATCAATGAGACAAGCCTTATCAACAGGAAAGTTCTTAAGACGTGTGTCAGAACAACTCTGATTAACACGCTAAAGGAAGTTGGAGACCCTGTAGAAAAGTTTGGAAGTCTATTGAAGTATATTAACAAGTAAGTAATGGCAAAACAGATCTGAAAAATATTGCCCATTTTGAAGAAGAAAAAGAGAGTCTAAGAGAGCTACTGATAAAGAAATCCTGATGCAGTCTTTTTAAAGGTAAAGAGCTGTGTAACCTAAATAAAAATAAGAGTGCAATGCCATTAATATTTGATACAGAAGTTTTAGAAAGTCAAAGTTATAATATCTTAGGAAGAGGAGATTGTAAGTTATAGGTTACAGATATTATGAATTACAATAAGACTACAATATGAGGGTAATATATTTAACTTAGTCTCAATATTGAAAGTCTTTAACAGTTCTTCATCATTTTATTTTAAAATAAAGTCTACTATCATTATTAGTTAATTAATTGGCTAATTGCTTACATACCCTGGGAGATGGTACTTTGGCTTTGGCTTCTTTGTAGACAAGAAATTCAGAAAAAATGTCGAAAGCAAAGATATTACCATCTTCCCCAGCAGTCAACAAGTACTGGTCATCAAAACTAGAAGTGATGCTTTTAATAGATCCATAATTATTGTCATGCACATTGAAATGCCAGTAGTCCTTCAAACTGACCAGGAAGGGGTCATTGTCACTTAGGACATACACTCGGATCGCACCATTTCTCATTCCACAGAACATCATAGTCCAGTCATTACTATGCGACATAAAGAGTAAAATATCATTCTCATAACCTGTGAAATAATGTTTAATTTTTTTCCTTTTTGTGTAGTGGGTGAAGGAATCCCAAAATGAGTGAGATTCTGAGTGAGCATGTATTTTGACATGAGTATGGCTTTTTGAAGACTACAAGGCCAATTGACCTGGGAAATTGGCAAAGTTCTTATCTACGCTGGCCAGGCTTGGGATGAGAACTTACAAGGGACTGATCAGTGGATGCAAAAACTGAAACTGTGCCTTCCTCATCGAGGTAATCACAGCCTGAGACTGATGGCCAATAGAGATCTCTTATCAAGGCGAGTTGAACCCTACCCACCTAGTAAACATGTTGATGTTCCAAGTCTGCTGTGTAGTGGTAGCATTAGAGAACCCGACCTGATCCCCTCTTCACTGTATGAGTATCTGTGTATCTGTCCTTTCTGCACTCCCCCACCATCCCCCGTCAGGGTTCTAAGACCCAAGCTGGGCAGGACATAGCATATTTATTTATTTAGCTGGTTTTGAGGATCAGAGGACAACTAGTGGAGGCTGGTTTTCCTTTTTCAAAGTGTGTGTCTATGGGACTGAACTCTGGTAATCAAGCTTGGTCACAGGTACCTTTACCCATGGAAACATCTCTCAGCCAAATAATGTTTAATTGTAAATAACAATGATGTTAAGAACTAAGTTGGATATTACAAAAATGCATATGCTCAAGTCTTACATGCAATACTCTGGAGTGTAACTATATTGTAAGTTAGGACTTGTAAAGAGGTAAATAAGCTAAAAATGAGAGCATAAGGAGAAATCTTAATCCAGTCTGGCTGGTACCCTTGTAAAAGAAGACAATTAAGCCATAGAGAGACATTAGGGATAGCTTGCACAAGGGATAGCTTGTCAAGGGAAGGCTCAACACTAAGACCACAGAAAGATTACATGAGAAAGCACATTTGTCAAGGCCACACACTTGGAGCTCTGGTCTTCAGAGTATGAGAATATAAGTTCCTGCTGTTTAAGCCATACTTCATGGCATGTTTTTGTCACAATGGTAGCTTTAGTGAACTAACACAAAAGAGATAAGAGCTGCTTTGGAAGTCTGCGCTCCAGGCCTCAGAAATAGGACTGGCATTTGTGCTTGGTTCTCACTTAGTAAATGGATATTGGCTCAGTTTATCATTTCTTCAGAGTCACTGTAAGCCTGGTCCTTGGTTAGCTCACCATGAAATCACATCTTTGTATGTAAATGAAGACAGATTTATGTGATAAACAGAAACTGACATACAACAACCCCTGACACAAAATCTACAGGGTTTGAATAAAATTTCAAGACTAGGCCTAACTTTAATTTTATTTGCTCATTTGAATGAATTGAAAGTGTTTCCTTTCACTTGACTTGATCTTTAAAAAGTAACAATCCCAGTTATGACAGTTACTCTTGTCAGCTTGAAAGGGTCTAATATCTCCAGGGAGACAGCCTTCAGGGAATGCCTGTAAGGGATTATCTTGATTACTTTAATGAATAAGGAAATACCCAATTTAATTATGGGTGGGAGCAATCCCAGAGCAGGGGATTCTGGTGTGTATAAAAGACAAAAAGCAGGCTGAACACTCATTTGTACTCATGGCTCTCCCCCTTCTGACTTCAGATGTAGTGTCGTCCTGCTGCCTTGATGGACTGAACCTTCAACGTGAGCTAAAATAAACCCTTTCTTTCGTTGGGTGTTTTTGTCAGGATGTTTTATTACAACAAGGGGAAGAGAGGCAAGGTGTCTGGGATGCACAGAAACACAGATGACACTGAGATCCTTGGTGAAGTTCTCTTTACCTGAAAGTGATTGTTCTGATGGGGTTGTCCTCTGTATCATGAAGAACACGGAAATCGAATGGTTCGTTTTCCTGGTTTTGGAAATCACGGCCACTGAGATATGATGGAAACTGACAGTGATACAGAAAACCGGCATCATAGTTGCCCTGGAAGATAAAAAGCACAAAAGGTGATTTGTGAATGCAGTACGCACCTCATTCTTCCAGAGATTTTGGTTTTTGTTTCTTGGTTTGTTTGTTTTTTTTTAATTTTGGATGGTAGATATATTATTTATATAAAGCATCTCCACTACTTATTACTATGCAATTATGTAATTATAATGATGATTAGTTTCTACTTCAGAAGTCAACGCAAGAGAAGTTTCACCTCTGAGAATCAAATTCATGGTATTTTATGATTTGAAGTGATATTCTGCATAAACAGTATCTTAAAACAATTGGTTTTGTCAGTCATTGTTTTCACAATTACTTTTCAGTTTGGGGTAACTTTAAACACTATTATTTTTTCAGGAAAGGCAATTTAGGGGGGAAAGTATGTCACTACACAGCAAGGAGGTATTAATAATTTGTAGCAGCTACACAGTTTTAACTTGTTTTCTTTCTCTGTATGGATGGGACTGTAAATAAAGAAAGTGGATTAAGTGTCTGGACATCTACACATGAAATACATGAGTAAATAACTAACATAGAGAAAGTAAGAAAATGATCAACCCAGAATTAGAAGACAGTTTTCACTCTGGGCAATGGCAGACTAGATTGCGTGAGTTAAACACGCCCACTGGGGATAATCAGGAAAAAGATAACACAACTTGTGTTTGAAAGCTTTGGGAGTCACCCAAGCATCGAGAGCTAGGAGAGAGTGAAAATCAGGAGTAAGCCTGGCACACAGTGCTGCGGTCCTCCCTGAAGCAGATAAAGTGCGGATAGGTACAGAGGCAAAGAAGCTGAGCAAGTCTACCTGCAGGTCTCTGGACTTACGGCAGGGCCAACTCTCCATACCAAAGAGAAGGAAGAGGACATTATACATAGACTTTCCGCTGGATTCTATTAAAATCCTAGAGTACCATTGAGAAGGAGATGACAGGGATGATGTCGGGAGAAAACTGCTGTTAATTTTGCTGCATGGTCAAGTTGTTAAGACTCCTTCTAGATATTTGTGACTACGCAGAGAATTGAGTGACTTTGTGCTTGGTCAGAGAAGCTCTTTTTACAGTGGGCAGTGGATAGTTAATATGCTCAAATAGTTATATGTGTTCAGCTGTGGACAAGTCATCTATATCAGCCTTCTCCACCCCATCCAAGGCTCTGGGAACATTGTGGATGAGAGGGCAGAGAGAGTGTGACAGGTGGCAGAGTCCAGAAATGCTGACTTGTGGACAAAGCATAGCTGTTGCTCGTATCAGCTCAAAACAACTGTGGTCAGGTTACCTACACAAAACCTGCACAAGACCAAGCCAGTCAAAATTCCATCCTAGATGGAAAAGGGGCCCCTGAGGCCTTACCCTCAGCAGAGGAGCTACTGGCAATTTCTGGCTGCTGAGGGAGGGAGAGTGACTTTCCTCTGTGGACTTGGTGGGTGGCATGGTGCCTATGTCCCAGTGGATGTTCCTATATCCGTGTGCATATGGGCAGCACTAACTGGACTTAAGGTTCTATTAATAACAATACTAAGAAAAGAATATGAAGTTGAAAGAAAAATTGGGTAGGGAACAATGAAGGTGTTTCAGGGAGGCGGTGGTGAATTGATATCATCAAAATGCATTGTATAACTACATAAAGTTAGCAGAGAACAAACTTAATTTTATAAAGAGATACCCTGATGTATGTATTCTAGCTGTGTGAGCAATCTGGGAGGTAAAGCGGCATTCTCAGGAAGTAAAGCATGATGCGAATCATGTCTCATGACTGACTGGATTAGAGTGCTTTACGCTTGCTACCTGCTTTCTAGAATCAAAGAGAAATCTTTACGAGGTAACAGTAACACACCAAGAATCAGGGTTACTCTCAGGTTTTTCATATAAAATGTCTTAGGGCTCAACAAAAAATAACTAGGCACACTAGGAGGACAAGATTTAAAAATCAGAAAAGACAGATCAATGAGACAGAATGACAAACATTATCAACAGGAAAGTTCTAAAGATGTATGTCAGAAGAACTCTGATTAACATGCTAAAGGAAGTTGGAGACCCTGTAGAAAACTTTGGAAGTCTATTGGAGTATATTAACAAGTAAATAATACAAAAGTGGAAATATCAGAATTGAAGAAAGAATGGTAGAAACTAAACTCTTAGGGTCAGAAGAGATGGCTTAGCAGTTAACATGGAAGCTTATTAATTTTTGAAAGGACTCAAGTGTGATTTGCAACACCCAAGTTGGTTGGTTGGTTGGTTAGATAGTTGGTTGGTAGGTTGGTTGGTTGGTTGGTTGGTTATTTGGTTGGTTGGTTGTTTAGTTGGTTGGTTGGAAGGTTGGTTGTTTAGTTGGTTGGTTGGTTTGTTGGTTGGTTGGTTGGAGGGTTGATTGTTAAGTTGGTTGGTTAAAAGATTGGTTGTTTACTTGGTTGGTTGGTTGGTTGGTTGGTTGGTTGGCTGGTTGGTTGGTTGGTTGGTTGGTTGGTTGGATGAAAACAATGTAATGATTCCAGTTCTGGTAGATCTCAACCCCGTTCTACTCTCCTCCAGATATACACACATGAGCATATACACTTGCACACACCAAAACGTATATGTAAAAATTATATACACTAAAACTAAATATTTAGGACAAAGAAATAAAAAAATTTAATAGAATGGTTTCACAGAAACTAAATATGAATAAGAATTAAACCCTAATAACAACCGCAAAAGCCCTAACACTAACCCTAACTCTAATCCCCTCAAACTATAAACCTACCCTAACCAAACACTATAACCCTAACCCAAACCCTAACAACCCTAACCCTAACTCTAACCCTAACCCTAACCCAAACCCTAACAACCCTAACCCTAACCCTAACCCTAACCCTAACCCTAACCCTAACCCTAACCCTAACCCTAACCAACATAGGAAAAGACTTGAGTAGATTCTTCTCCAGTGAAGCAATACAAATGTCCAAGGATCCCAGGAACAGACATTCTGCACCACCAGTCACCACCAGTCACCACCAGTCACCACCAGTCACCACC